CAGGATACCAGAGTGGGAGGCTTTAAGGAGCTCATGAGTGTGAGAATGAGGGGACCTACTTTGCCTAATTAAAAGGCAGGCTCCCCCTGCAATGAATCTAGTGGAAACCATAATGACTGTAGAGAAGAGAGGAAAGTATGTATATCCCTGCCCCTGTGCACCCAACAGGCTCCATACTAGAAATATAAACAGAAAAAACAGTACAACATAAAATCTGAACTGTGCACAATTATTGAAATTAAGCTTGTCCTGATTATGGCAGAAGAAAATTCATACCCCCCACCCTTCTTTATATAGGTGAGGGACCATGGTCACCAGATAGTAGATGCTATCAGAACTGGCTGCCATGTTGGTGAATTTTGATGAATAGATTTTGTCTTTTCTCTTTCTATTCTTTGTTACAGGAGATATGTCTTTGGAAAAGGGAGTACAGTAGATATATTTGGAAATGGGAAAGATGTAAAAACAAAAGACATTCATAAAAAAAATTAAAAAAATAATAAAATGAATATCAACAGGAAATTTCAAGTCTTCAGTGACAGTAATATACAGGTACCTTTCCATTTCAACACTCTCAACATTTTTTAGATAATGTCAGTGATTTGGGGATTTTTTTTTATAATCTCAGTAACATCCAATGCTCTTTTGAGATATGTATATAATTACATAAAAGAGAAAAAAGTGATTAAATTCAAATTAAAACAGTATCTCATGCAATTTCTTAGGGGATCTTGGATGTTTCAGCAAACAAACCATTCATGGCTCTGAAAATAGAAGTTTTTCTTCGACATCCCCTTCCCTTGCCATGTAATGGGACCATTTGTGCACTTTAAACTCTTCCTATAGGAGAGACATGTAAATAGAGTTTGACTTCTACCCTTTGAGAAATCCTAGATCTTAAATGTTGCTAAAGGATACAAGGCTTCTCAGTATTAATACAAGATTTTTTTTTTTTCAGGGATCAAGCTACTTCCTTGAAATCAAGTCACACCTGGAAACATTTTTCTGTGTTACTGAGTTGGTAGGGAACAGGCAAGGGAAATGAATCCATCCTTTCATGAGAATGGCTCAGGCATTCCAACACACTCATTGGTGAAGTTGACAGTTTTGACTGCATTTTCTGTCTCTATATCCATTTTATTGCCACAATAATTCACAATACTTTAGCCTACTTAGAAGTCAGTGCTGAAAACTGGGAATAGAGTAGTTTACTTCCCGCTCCTCTTTTGGAGAAAATATAAAACATTTGGTTGACCAATCAATTCCTTATGTGTCTATATACTCCTGTATCCAGCCCAAGCTTTGTTCTTCTACCCACTATGTAATCTGTGTCCTAAGCCCCAGCCCCTATATCACCAACTGCATCCTAGACATCTTTATTTGGAGACAAATTTAGAGAAGGGGTAAAACAAAAACACCGCCATCACCACCACAAAACTTCCTAACACTTGGATGGCCCCAAAGTCTTACCTTGGGAGAGAGTAGGTTTCTGCTCCCTGAAGATCCTCAAGCAAAGACTGAATGCACTTAATTGGTTAGTAAAGGTTATTTCCAGTTATGAGTGACCTCTGCAGAGGTCACTTATAGCTCTGAAGTAAATTCTACAATTCAGTAATCTTCACTCAGTTATCTGTCTTATCTTTCCAACAATTTGATGTGTAAACCGTTCAGAAACTGCCCCTCCCAAGCAAGTCAGACTCTCAGGATAATCCTCCTAAGTTAACTGATTTTCTGCTTGGACAATTTATATCTCTTAATCGATTTCCATTTGAAGAAAATCAGTTCAGACTTCTCATAATCTCTGATCCATTATGGGCCTTTTAGGATCCTTCTGCAGATTGTAAGCTTCTTGAGTGTAAGGATTAGTTTATTTTGGACTTTATGTCCCCAAATACTTGTGTATAGTAGGAGCCTGATGAATATGTGTCAGGTTGCATTAAACCTATTACCATCATCACCAAAGTCCTACTGTTAGAAGTTTCATTTTAAAGAGCTTTTAAAACAGAGGTGATTAAGCATTGTGGGTCCTGAACCCCTTTTAGCAGTCTGGTGAAACCTGGGGATCCCTTCTCAGAATGACATTTTTAATGGATGGTTATCAAAATAAAAAAAAAACAGATTAAGAACTCTTTGTCTAAAGGATATATCTCTCTTAAAAGAATCCTTTTGCTATTTTCTGGCACATTTGTTTCTCTGTGCCTACCTGATTTTCCTTTGGACTTTGAAATCTGTGGGAGTTTTGGACCAACATTTCCTTCCATGATCCACCCGGTGGATTTTCTTTGCCAGCTGTCACTTCCAAAGCTCAAACTCAGGGCTAGAAGAGGTGCACTGGCAGCATTGGTGAACAAAGTACCTCTCTGCTGCATACATTGGGCAAGAGTTGGCCCTTCAAAAGACATATTTCATTGCATTCCATCTCTCTTGGAAGCTTGTGTCACCAGCAAACTCTGAAGAGCTGGCCTCCTTTGAACCCAGGGTAACTGTGATCGACAATACAAAGGTATCTCATCAGGGTTCCCTGTTCTTTTTGTGAAGCCTAATGGTTATGCCAAAGGGCTGCTTTTGAAGGAGAAATAGCATTTGGCACACTCACCAATCTGAGACAGGGGGCCCAAACCAAATAAACCAGACAGTCTTAGACAGTAGCAGAAGACACTTATCTATTTCATAGAGGGCTGAGAATTTCATTCAAGCAGCACCTTAAAGAAAATCTCAGCTTTTTTTTTTTTTTTACAGTTACACACATATGTGTGTATGTATGTATATGTATATAAATGGGGGTTATCTATTTGGATATGTATGAATATTTGTATACATAAAGGCAACCTTTTATAGCATAAAGAACACTGGATTTGGAATCAGAGGATGTGGGGTAAAATCCTCATCAAAACTCAGCTGAGGTATTGAGTTCAATTTTGTCATTATGGTTTAAGAAAGACATTGATATGCTGGAGCGTTTACAGAGGAGGGCAATCTTGCATCCTAATATTTTTATTCATCTTAAAAAAAGCATCGATTTTCTCTTCCTGTGCAATAGTTCACAGAGCACTAAACATAAAAGAATCATAGTGAGATAGCAACTTGTACCTAGACTATTTCTACCTGAACTCAGAAGAAAGAAGAGGAGGGGAGGAGTAGGGCTAAAGGAAGGAGGAGAGGTGATAGGGAAAGGAGAATGGAGGAATAAAAAGGAAGAAGTAGAGAGGGAAAAGGAAAAGGATGGGGAAAGGGATGGGGAGAAGGAGAATAGATGCAGAGAACGGAAGAGGAGAATGAGAGGGAAAGAATGGGAAGAGAAAGAAATAATCATCATATCCTATTTCTATTATATAGGAGGCTTGCACCTAATTTCTTAATTGATCTTGGTAATTTGTGTTTACTGCTTTTTTGTTTTTAATTTGTGGAAGTTAAAAACCAACTAACTGTTCAATATCTCCAATACAGTGGTTCCTATTTGCCTATTAAATATCCAATAAAGATTTCAGATCTATGGCAGTTTCTACATAGAAAGATAGTCTTTGATTTGGAAAGGACCTTAGAATACATCTTGTCCAACCTCCTCATTGTACAGAGGAGGGCACTAAGGCCCTGGGAACTCAGCTGGTTTGCCATAGAGCCCACTTTAGAAGCCAAATTTGAATCCAAGTGCTCTGACTACATAGTTCATCGCACTATGCTATACTAGTGTAACTAGAATGTTTTGTTCCTAAAAGTTCTTGAAAATGATCACATTCTGTATGAGATCAACAAAGAGGGAATCTTCCCACACGTCATATTTTTAAAAGAGTAAAACTGAACTTTCTAAAATTAGCTCTTCACTAAGAGATTGTACTAATGCTTAAAGAAGAAGATCTTTTTAAATTCTCATACAAGTGAATTCTCATAGGTCAGGGCTACAAAGAATCTGAAAACATGAAGGGCTACAAAGAATCTGAAAACATAACAGTTACGTTATAAGGCAGGTGCAGCATGAAACCAAATCAGCCAATTGACAACATCAAAAACAGCAACAATAAAATCACGGATTTTTCCATGCAATGAAATGACTGTTTTGAGATTAATTTAGTTCTGCATTCTCTATACTCTTTTAATTCACCAGACAGGGATGCAGATTCTGCCTGGCTGCCCAGACAGCAGAGCTTCCAAGGCTCAAAAGGCAGCCTGCCCCAAAGGAAGAAAAATGTATTGATCCTAGCATCATCTTTATTCAGAATTAGCAACACTAGTGATACTTGGCCTTACACTCAAAACCACATAGGAATACTGTAAACAGAAAACATAGACAGGATTCTTGGCAGGTGACAGTGGCATGAAGGATACTCCTGCTGGAGTGGAAGGATCTGAAGCACTGTATCAGCGAAATTCTCATACTGTATTCAGAACCCTAGGGCTCCTCTGTGGAAACCTCTGTGCCTCAAATTCTCTCAAGGAAATCTCGTTCTTTAAAGTAATTTTTAAAGCACCCCTTGCCAACTATGCCAAGATAAGGGGAATGTTGTACATGTTCTCAAGTGATTAGTTAACAATAATCTAAGGCCAAGATGGAAACATAAGATTGAGTGCATGAAGAGGGTAAAGGTAGCAAAGACAAAATATCATCAATTTTACAATTTTACCAAGGGTTAACCCTGTACAGGGAAGAACTTGCCCACAGCTCAAGTCAGTGGGCCTCCAATGAGCCTCTGTAGCTGAGAATCTGAGCAGATGCCAAGTAGCCCTGGGCCATGTACCATTTCTGTGCCTACGGGGTGATCGTGTTAAAGTACCACTAACTTATGCATACAAAACACAGTGCATGCACTGTTTTTCCTTATCAAAAAATGAGCAGGCTTCCAAAGTAAAGGGCATACCATGGATTAATACAGTTTCAGTACAATAACACTATATAATTTTTTCATGCTCAGTTAAGGGAGAGAGAATGCTTAAGGAAGCTCTATTCCTTTATGATTAAAAAATACAATGAATTTTTATACTGAATAGCAAAATGATAAACTTACATCAGAATTAAATCTCAACTGGCAAATGTTACATGATATGATTTGCTTTCTTCGATGAGGAAGAGGAACCCCAAATGTATGATTTATTACAGCTTTCTGAATTGGGTCCATCTGTAACAAGAAAAAAAAATAGAAATAAAGCTTGTCAGTTCCATTGGAATTCTTCCTGCTCCATTAAATAGGCAGTCTGAACAGCTCTAATCTGTAGCTCACATAATTTTTTTAAAAGCATTTTTTTTTAATTTGGAGGGATTAGGTTTTCTATTTTCCTGGCAAAATAGGCCACGATAAACCAAAGCTCACAATGATAAGAAAATAATAAAAGTCTATATCATATCTTTCATACCAACCCATTTCTAATTCAGGGTCGTGGATTGTGTTGTTTCATCACCATAAATAAGTAATTGAAATGTCACAAGAACTTTTTTTGTCAAATGCTAATGTCACCAGTTATATACTCAATCTGTGTCCACATAACAGCCAATTTTTTTTTAAGTATTAGTATATGGAATTAGTCAACTTAGTTATTGTAAAATTACACCTTTGATTTAATATTTGATCAGCCCCGCTCCCACACAGGGCAGCATGGTGAAATGAAAAGAACTCTGAGTTTGTAGTTTATAGTAAAAAGCCTGTGATAAAATCTGATTTTTCTGTTTTTTACCTATGTGGCCAGAGGAAAAATAATTTTACCACTTTAAATCTTAGTTTTTCCATTCATATAATAAGGAGCTTGGATAATATCATCTCTAAATATCCCTCACTAGATAGAGGACCGGACCTGAAGTCAGGAAGACTCATCTTCATGAGTTAAAATCTGTCCTCAGACACTTACCAGTTATGTGACCTTAGGCAAGTCACTTAACTCTGTTTGCCTCACTTTCCTCATTTGTAAAATGAACTGGAGAAGAAAATGGTAAACCACTCCAGACTATTTACCAAGAAAACCCCAAATGGGGTTATGAAGAGTTGAACACAATTGAAAAATGGCTCAATAATAACAACAACAACAAAAACAACAATGTATATGGGCCTCAGTCTTCCGTAAAAATGTGGAGTTAAAATCATATCATCTGCCAGGACCCCAATTCAACAACTACACAAGTATTTCTTCTGTGTATGGAGATAGGCTTCAAATATAGTTCATTAGGCATTCCAGGGGCAGAGCTAAAATAGTGGAGTAGATAAGCATTTAGCTGAGTTCTCCCAACATTCCCTTCTAGGCAATTTTAAAATAGCACCTCAACTCAAATTCTGGAGCAACAGAGCCAACAAAAGGTCTCAGAGGAAGACATTCTTCCAGGCCAAGACAACATAGGAAGTCAGAAAGAGACATATCTGACGCACAAGAGGAGGCTGGCCTAGAGTCCATGTGAATGAAATTCCGGTGGTGAGACTAAGTGGAGGCGACAGAAAGATTCCAAAACTCCAGAACTAGCTCTGAAAACAGCAGCATGAAAAAGCTTGAAGCTTGAGACAGATCACAAACCTCTCCTCCATGCTGGGAATAGAGACTCACATTAACATAAAATTACAAATCAAGAAAAAAGGTATAAAAATAAGTGAACAACAAAAAACAACAAAAACTGACCATAAAGAGCTATTATGGTGACACAGAAAATCAAGACACAAACTTAGAAGAAGACAGTGAAGGCAAAGCAACCACAAACAAATCCTCGAAGAAAAATGTGAATTGGACACAAGCCCAGCAAGAATTTCTGGAAGGTATTTTTTTTTTCCAAAAACAAACAATAGTGGTAGAATAAATATTAGGTATTAAAAATGAAAACGAAGGAAGAAAATAACAAAAGACAATTAACAGCTTAGTTTTTTTAAAAGATAAAAAATAGGTATTTAATGAAAAAGAGTACTTTCAATCATTCCTGATGAGACCAGAGCTGAATAGAAAAATCTGAATTTCAAATACAAGACTCAAAAGAAGCATAAAAAGATGAACAAGATAAGGATAAAGAACAGGATAAAAAGAGAGAAAGAGAAGGGTAACCAGAAGAAAATAGGATGGAGAGAAATGCAGTTAGTAATCATAATGGTGAATACAAATGGGATGAACTCCCCCATAAAATGAAAACAGATAGCAGAATAGACTAGAAACCAGAATTCAACACTATATTGTTTACAAGAAACAGCTTTCTGAATTGGGTCCATCTGTAACAAGAAAAAAAAATAGAAATAAAGCTTGCAACAGACACACACACAGATAATACAAGGAGGTGGAACAGATCTATTATGCATCAGCTGAAGTAAATAAAGGCAGGGGTAGCAATTATGATCTCAGACAAAGCAAAAGCAAAAACAGGCTTAATTAAAGGGATAAGTAGGGAAGCTACATATTGCTAAAAGGAACCCCAGGCAATAAAGTAATATTGTTATTAAACATATATGCACCAAATGGCATGACATCAAAATTCTTAAAGGAAAACTTAAATGAATTATAAGAGAAAATTGACAGTAAAACTATACTAGCAGGGAACCTCAGCTTTCTCCTCTTAGAGTTAGACAAATATAAACATAAAATAAATAATAAGTCAAGGAGATGAATACAATTAAATAAGTTAAATATGATAGATCTATAGAGAAAACTGAATGAGAAAAGAAAGAAGTATACCTTTTCCTCAGCTGTACATGGCATGTTCAAAAATAAAAAAGAAAAATGACTATTAGGGCATAAAAACCTTACATCTAAATGCCAAAGAGCAGAAATATTCAATGCACCCCTTTTAGATAATGATGCAACAAGAAATACATTTAATAAAGGGTCATGGATGCATACATTAAAAGCTAAATGGAAAATACACAATCCAATCCTAAAGAAAGAGTGGGTCAAAGAGCAAATCATAGAAACAATCACTAATTTCATTAAAGAGAATTCCAAAATTTATGGGATGCAGCCAAAGCAGCACTTAGGGGAAAATGTGTTACTCTAACTGCATACATCAATAAAAGAGAGAAAGAACAGACCAATGAATTGGGCATGCAACTAAAAATAAAAACCTAAAAAAAAATTAAAAATCCTCAACTAAATTACAAAATGGACATCCTGATAATCAAGGGAAAGGTCAAAAAATTGAAAAGTAAAAAAAAAAGAACTAATAAATAAAACTAAAAACTGGTTTTATGAAAGAAAATCAACAAAATACATAAACCATTGGTCAATTTGGTTTACAAAAAAAAAAGAAAGAAAATTATTAGCATCAAAGATGAAAAGGTAAATGTACCACCAAAGATTAAAATAAAGTAATTATTGGGAATTATTTTGCCCAGTTGTATGCCAGTAAAACCGACAAAAGAAGTGAAATGGATGAATATTTATAAAAATATGAACTGCCCAGATTAACAGAAGAGGAAATACTTAAATAATGATATCTTAGAAAAAATAATTGAATAGGCCATCTGTGAACCCCCTAAAAAAATCTCCAGGACCAAATAGATTCACAAGTGAATTATATTAAACATTTAAGAAACAATTTAATCCCAATAGTAATCAAACTTTTGAAAAAAAAAAGTTAAAGAAGGGACCCTCCAAAATTCCTTTTATGATGCAAATATGATTTTGATACCTAAACCAGGGAGAGCAAAAACAGAGACAGAAAATTATAGGCTAATTTCCTTAGTGAATATTAGTGCAAAAATTTTAAACAAAATACTAGCAAGAAGATTACAGAGATGCATCACGATGACCAGGTGAGATTTATACTATGAATGCTTAAATATTAGGAGAACTACCAGCATAATTGACCATATTAATAACAAAAACATCAAAAATAAGATGAATATTTCAATAGAAATAGAAAAAGCCTTTGACAAAATATAGCACCTATTCCTATTAAAAACACTAGAAAGCATAGGAATTAATGGAACTTTCCCCCAAATTGATAAATAACATCTATATAAAACCAAGAACAAGAAGTGAAAAAAGAGTCTTGGGGTATGGAACCAAGATGGCGAAGAAAAGGTAGGGAATTGTCTGAGTTCTTCCCAAAACCTCTCCAAACAATGTCAAATAATGCCTCAAAACAAATTATAGAGTGGCAGAACCCACACAAGGATAGGCTGAAACAATTTTCCAGCCCAAGAACCTAGAAAGTCAGCAGGAAAGGTCTTTTGCACTGTGGTGAGGGTGGAGTGCAATCCAGCACAGGCTGGCCACCAGCAAACCAGAAGCAGCTTGGGAGTGACTGAATCAGTGGTAGCAGTGGTGGTTTCTGGACCTCTGAGCCCACAGACTGTAGGGAATCAGAAGGAGATTACAGGAGTCCCTTGCAGCACCAGGAGAAGGACTTTGTTGCATCGTCCTACTTGGATCTGAGTCACAGCCCTGGGTCTTAGTCTCAGGGCAAGTAGGAAGACCAGCACATCAGAGCTTGCAGCCTCAGGGAACTGGGACCCTCGTCACAGTTCCATGGTAGAAAAGAGTGCTCGTGGTCAGTCACAGACCAGAGCACAGGCCAGAAAAGTAGTAAACACACCTCTCATAGATCATACCACTTTAGAAGAACCAAAAACTTCGGATCTCCAGAATTATCTCTGAAAATAGATACACAATAAATCTGAAGCTTTGGACAGTGTTCCCTCCACTCTGGAAAGGAGACTCACATTATTATAGAGTTAAAAGAAAGAAGGGAACTAAGCATTCATCAGGACTAGCCAGTCATTTTACAGGGAAGGAAAGTAAGCCAGGAGATGTGAAGAGATTGCCCAAGCTCACATAACCAGTATGGGCCAGAAGCAGGCCTTAAACCTAGGACTTCCTCACCTCAAAGTTAGCTATCTCACCACTTCACTCTGCTGCCTTTGTTTAAACAGCAACACCACCTATATCTTTTAATGCAGGCCACCAAAGAGGCTGGGAGCAGGGACACCAAAAGCTTACAAGGGCCAGAAATTGCATGAATGGAGTAACTCTGTGGTGTTGTTTCCCAGGAGTCTTTTTAGGCTGCTTTAAAAATAGCCTCCTAAGGCTTCTTTCCCACAGCCACCAAGGACTTGAAGAGATAATCAAACCTCAATCCACCAGCTGAAATATAAATTGGAAAGTAGAGGTTGTCTTGGAAGAGAGGTCATGGAAATGAGAGTAAATACTATAGCACATC